TAACAGCTTGATACAAATAGATACCTGGGAGGGGTCATGTGCGAGAATTTGGATTCCAAGCTTGATTGTTTCATGTACAGTTTTGTTTGAGATTTTTGTAAATCCTCATGATTTTCAGTACATTTTCTATAATTTTCTATCTGCACAATCCTTTACTCATCTTATGATTGGAGGCTATCTGTCGATTCTCAGAAGTTACTGTTATCGCGGTTTCTCAAGATTGCAATGCTGCGTCTGTTATTTGAAATTTTTAACATATTGCAGTTCTTTCAAATACATTCAGCTCTTCGCCATTATAACTGTATCTACAACAATAAACATTTCTTCCTAAATCGAAAGAAGATTAATGGGCGTAAATGGGCTTTTATGTTGTCTGGAACAGGCAATGGCCCACTGCCAAGGACTTCAATCCCTCCCTCCGTCCCTACCCCATTTGCTCGCATTTGCTTGTCCGAGCTCCTTTCGCGGGGGGAGGGGATGCTTCCCTGACGTCATTTCTCTACCAGTTGGCATACACTGATCTAGGTGGGTGAGTATCATAGAAAAGGGTGATCACGCTGGCCTAGTGGCGAATTGGACTCGAGGGCAAATGGGCTGCCCGGGTATGACACGAGTGAGGCTGCGGTCGAATGTGCGAGCTAGTGAGTGATCTAGCGGGGATAATGTGGAGCGAGCAAGTTGGGTTGTCTGTGTGTTGGACCCTGGACCCATTGTGGACCCTTGCACAAGAGTGTTGCGTCGACGCGCGTTTAAGTAACGCGCATCGTAGATTAACACTGCATCTTATGCGAAACGCCACACGAGTGATTTGACCGATTTGCAAAAAATACTGTGTTTTTGACATAAATACTGTGTCTTTCACATGCGTTACTTAACAGCATCAACGCAACGCTCGTGTGACACATGCCTAATGGAACGGCTTGGGAGCGAATAAGCGGGGTAGTTGATTATCGGGCCCGAGAGCAGGCGAGTTTGGATGGTGTATTGGAGAGGGAGGATCGAGCAAGGTTTCTGGTAAGCGTCGTAGAGAGGGGAGAGACGGCGACGGTGAAGTAATAGTTTTATTCCGCCAACGCCATGACTGCGTCCGACGTGCACGCGCTGAATGTCCGAGGCGGTCTGATTGATTATTTCGTGTTCCTGAGCGCGTCAACTGCTATGGTCTTCAGTCCGAGCGTGCATATTTTATCACTGAAGGTGGCTGTGTTCGTCTCCCGCTGATGAGATCACGCGCCGACCTACATGTCGGCTTGCGGGGATTGCGAAGTGTGATGTTCCAAACTACTAATGTAACATTCCCGCCTGGTATTGTAAATTACAATTTACAGCATATTACTCTTTCGTGTTTATTTTCTTTATACATAGTGCCTTGTATAAATTGTTTTTGTCCAGTGGCGGGAATATGTTTGACGAATTCTTTCATTGTTTTCGTTTTATATTGTTTTATTGAATCATTCACTTATTAGTTGTTTATAGCAATAAAGTGATATAAATTACAATATTTGTATAAATAACAATTCTTGATTTCGAACAGATAGCTCTTAAAGGACAAAAATATTTGTTAAACCTCCTTATCTGATCGTAGGTGGCTAATGCATTTATTTCAATCGCGAGTAAACAGATTACGAAATCCAGACTTTTTAGTTCAAAATTTGAATTTTCCTCTGCCAATTTGAAATCTGGCTAATGTATTATTTCGTTTTATTGCACCATTTCTTTGCTTTTGTAGAGGAAATGGTGATTAATAAACTACATTTGGGAACATAACTGTTAATTGGCATCTCCAAAAGACTATCATGGGCCAGATATCCATTGACGTGCTGTCACTCCCGAGTAATTGGTACAACCCTTACTTTTAAATCTCTCTCCAGTTGATGTGCTCATTACAGAGTATCAAACATTTTTGTGATCCTCAGTATACATTATGTAACGATTGTTCCGAGAACTTACGTCAGAAATGTTTGATTTTAGTTGGCGTAACCCATTGAAATATACCGTATCTTGGGGTGTGGAATATTAAATATATTTTAAGGTAAATCGTGAATCACGAGCAAAAGTGAAACTTACTATTATATCAAATAATTGGCGAAGTAATTTAATTACTGCTTTAACAAATAATATATTAGAAGGAAATATAAATGTTCGAAACTGAAATTCTTCATTTTATATTGCAAGTTACATTGAAGAAAGGCAGTCACTACTCTGAAATTAAAAGTAAAGATCTAATTAACCAGGTAAAACTTTGTAAGCTGTACATTGCTAATCAGATGGAGCAGTAGATGTTCTGCTTACGGCCAACCCCACAACGTCGAAATCGCTTGGTCATGCATCGAAAATTAAAAACTTTATACTTAGACAAACAAATGTGAGCTATAATCATTTTCCACTCTCTTTAGGATCAGATTATCGTGTGTTGTTGTCTTTTGGTTGACCGTGACTAACTGTATGTGCGTGGTAGTTGATGATTTTTCCCATATACTTCGGCCTTCCTCGGAAGACAGGTCTATTTTTTATGTATAGTTCAGAAGAAGGCCGCATGTATTTGAAACATCAGCGACCACGACGTAGATGCAACTTGTCCCGAAGTACCAAGAATCAACAGACGCCGGCCGCGGAAGCGCACGCAATCACCTTGCCTTCCCTCACTTTAGCAATGCATCAAAATTTGTTAATTTTTATTTTTGTTCGTACTCGTTAGAAAGAAAATAAATGCCAAGATCAGATCTACGAAGTAGTAATTTTCTCTATTATTGAGCATAATGCAGAGAATTTTGTTTGTCATTTCATCATTTTTCTAGTCCCACAGAATAATCATTGGCATGTGCCTTTTTTTTATTTTTACCAAAAATAATTAATAAATATTTAGGAGACTTGTGCGTTAAGAATTATGAAACATGGAACAAGAATGCAACATCTGAAAATTAGAATTCCTGATGGAAAAGTTTAAATTACATTTGTGGATATTCTTTTTTCTTTACATTTGAATGCGTATGGCGATCTTTCAATGTCCAGAGGGATGTGCAAGTAATGAGACTTCATGAAGTTATGGAATTTGTTCTCGCACCACGTATACAGAGCATGATGAAATATGTTTTTTCACATCTGTCGAATACGTATCTTTCGCATGATCTGGCTGTGAAATTCGTTGTGTATTTCATTACCCGCAGGAAATGTATCAGACGGGAACGTCTCTACCTGTTGCACTTCAGTGCGAATCGCAGCAGCAGAGGATTTTTTTTTCTGAGTTAATAATTTCTCTCACTTCACTACTCATACCGTCACGCAGTTCCAGAGACTGCGGCGTTTTAATTTTTTTCTGTGTTTTGGTTGCGGGATTTTATTCTATATCGTGCTGGCTCATTTTTACCTCTTTGGTAGTTCGCAGCAAAAACTGAAGTGATCCCACAGAACGGATGAAGAGAGACAACTGCAGTTTTTAAATTATCTCTGCAATTTATTAGGGATCGCGTATGAGATTGCACGAAAAAATGATTGCTCTCCGTGATGAAAAATTCCATCTGTAAAATATTGGAATGATTCCTAAAGGTCACATTCTAAAATTCTCTCTTATGTGTTTGTTCTCCGTTTGTATTGAAAGTGTTGGAAATCAATTTTTAATTTTCGTCTGTTCTGGATTGTTAGAAGTGGATGTGCATTGCATCTACTACCTATGATTCATTATTCACGTGGAGCGCAAAATCCAATTTTACCATACATTTTTATGGGCGAATATTATTGTGATCTTCACATCCTGAAAACGTTTTTTGCAAATGGACAACAAATAGTGAACGGTACAAAGTTTGGGAACAATGAACTGGGAAATGTTGAAATTTCAGTTTGTCTCCTAAGAGAGAGAAAAAACTATAATTTTCCAGTTGCATGTTTATTTTGAATATGTTTCGATAGTCCTCTTTGATGCCCAAGGAACTGTTGTTCATCCATGCTCGGCTTCTTCCTTTGGCCGTGACATGAGCCCACGAGTGACACCTGTCATCTTGTTTTCCATTAGGTTGCAGAAAAGGGCATTTCACTCTGCGAACAAAGGCCCCGTGAATTATGTTTTGGTACTCTTTCTCTTTTGTGTTTTGCTTTAGCGCGTGGTGTATTTCCAGCTCTGCTCTGCTTTCTGCAATTCTTTGTCTGTGCGCTGAAAAAAATGTCCAGTGGTATTCCGTTTTATGACCACCTACATACCATTGCAATAACCAAGTCTTTTTTTTTATTCCGGCAGAACTGCATATTGTCGTGGGAGCTGGAGGTTCACTTGTTTTAAAGAAAGAAAACGAGTGCAGTGTCAGAGGATCAACGGGACAATTCCGAGGGCGCAGAGCGCTGGAAGTTTCGCTTTTACGACGTCATTTAGTGGATTTAGCATCTTGCGAGCATTGGACCGTTCTATATTACTGTTTACTAGCCCCGGACTTCGCCTCTGATGGCTGAAACGTTGTTTCAAGAGGAGTTGATCGCATTAACTTTACGCAGAAGTCTGAACATGTTTCACAACTTGCACAAATCTCCCAGTGTTTGTTGTCGTAGTGGACACAACGATTGATAGTCGTGCTCTAAAGTCTATGGGGAGGCGCAATTCTTTTTCTAGTTTTTGTTCAATTTCAGAGTGCGTGATTTAACTGGTGTTTTAAGGCGGGTTAAGTAATGCTTTTGTGCCGTTTTCTGCAGCGAAGTAAATTGCTTGGATGGAATTTATTGTGATTCTATAAGTTAGAAGGATTTGTTCGTAAGCCGTTCAATGTGAATTTTACAAACTGCCAGCTGCTATACTATATAGGAGTAAAAAATATGGAACTATTTGTTTAAAACAAAGGAAAAATAAAGATACGCGATTTTTGATACACCAACAAAAAGTTTTCTTGCAAATGGTAATAATTGGTAACTTAAATTCAAAGTGTATAAATCTTGTCATCTAGTATGGAGTCACGTACTATATTTACTGTCGTTGTCCGTAATGAAATTCGATACAGAGATGGTATGTATGGTGGCGGATGGCTGTGCGAGTACAAGCACATTTATTGAAAGATGGAAATTCAGAGTTTGATGATGTAAATGTCTTGGTGTCTTTTCCTTGCAGAATGGCAAAGCCTCCGCGTTTCCTGATCGGTCGTAGGTGAAACATGTTCTTCTACAATCTTCTTTACCTTCAGTGATTCCTTCCCCAGGTTCTTCAGTGATTTTTACATTTAAAGAGAAAAGGTATGCACGTGATACAATAGCGGTTAAACTTATCCGTAAGTAAGATAGATTTTAGTTGGGTTCCATAAACTGCAGTGTTCCCCCAATGTACTATCATATATCATATATTATATTACCAAAGTAATATAATTTGACGTAAGGTGAAGGTTTGGGAAGAAGTAAGAATGGAACTCCTTTTGTTTTGGGCATTGGAACGAAGGAACGTGAAGCGTGAAGTCTACAAGGAAGGGCTAGTGGGGCGGGGCAGGGCCCGGCGCGGCGCGGCGCGAATGGCGCAGGTGTCGCGCTATTGATTCCCTGCGCGGGCGGCGGCTGCGAGCGCGATGATTTAGTCAGTGGCTGCGGGCGCCGCCCCCCCCCTCCATCCCTCAACCCCATGGGCCCCGCGCCCTTGGTTGGGCCCTTGCCGGGCATCTCCAGGGCCTCGTGAGGACCATTTCTCACTCGCACGCGCCCCGCGCTCCTCTCCCCGCTCTCCCCGCCCCGCGCCACGCTCCATCCGTCCCGTCCGCCCCTCCGCCAGCCCCGCTCTGGACTCACGCCCCTCGCCCCGGCGACAGAAATAGCGCTGCAAAATTACGGTTAATAAATACTGGGGGGCAATTACGTGGCGCATAAATACAGCGGTAATTTGGTCCGTGTTCCCGGAGCGAGCGCCGCGGGCGCCGAGACGGAGGCCTGCGTCAGCCAATGCTGCTATCCGCTGCGCCTATTGCGGAGACCGTCGCGCCTTGGGGAGCACGTGACCACGTTCTTCCGTGCTTCTCGGGAATCGAATCCCGATCTGTCCATGTTCAGTTCCTGGTGAGCGAATCAGGTTTCTTGAACATTTAGGTTTTTTCCTCTTCCTTATATTGTAACATTGCACACGTGTGGTCCGATAGATCCTTGTCAGCGCTGACACAGTCTGAACATTTATAGACTGTGTGAAGTTTTCAAAAATGTAGATGTTTGAAGTTTTTTACGTAATTTGGGAAGCAATTTACATAATTGCAACTAAAAACGATTGCGGCGAGCCTTTTTTTCGCCCCCCTTCTCTGATCGCGTAACGGGCCTCTCCGATCGACTCGCACACACGCCGCGCCTTAAGACGTTGACCTACCCACGCACCTGTTCAGTGACTCCTTCGCCATGAGAGATTCTCTGAAGCCCTACTGCTCCTTCACGATAAGCTCTGCCGTACAAATGTGTCTGTAATTGCACGAAAAGAGGATAGGAAACTCATCCAAAGAACATACGACGACCATCCAGAATCTTGCTAGCGGGGAGATAGAAGTGCGGGAGCACTCGGAAAGTATATTCAAGTAGTGTAAAAATACACAAGTAAATAAAAGAATGTATTGTGATAGCGGAGAATTTTCGTGGTAGAGAAAGGCGAACTGTTGCGTAGTTGTTGGGTTAGTAAGTGCATGACGTTGTGTGAGGCAGATAGAATAATCCGTCACCGTACCCTGCCCATAACCATTGTGTGTAATTCGTAGAGCATTTCCGACCGGAATAACCGAGGCACTCTCTCGCTCAATTTGAATAGCTCTATTCGAGATCACATTCTAAATGGGAAGTGGTGCTTTTGTGATTCATGATTAAAGGGTTGGAGAGTCAGGATAAAATAATATCCCACATAATTGTAGTTTTCATAATATTATATTCTTGGGTTCCAATCAGTTATTCTGTATACATTTTGTTACACAAATTCTTCAGTTTATGATTAAATAGTTATCCCTCACTAGTAGTCTTCATCTACGTAACTCACATATTGAAACAAAATGTTAAATTGTCTGTATAACAAAAGGGTTTTCTAATGGAACTCCTCATTTTATTATCACTCTTTTATTTTTAACACTTAATCTCTGCAACTTAGGCCGATTTTTGTAGCCGTGGAAACTCACAAACGCGATTCATTTCTGTCGAATGCGTTTCAAGAGATGCTATGATATATAACTAGGAAGTATAAACGTTTGGATTTAAATGCTGTGAAGGAGAGATACTTCATACTGATACTTCATTCTAAGCGGTGTGTGTGTGTGTGTGTGTGTGTGTGTGTGTGAGTGGTGGAGAAAAAAGTAATATTTAACATTGATACAAATGTACAAATAAAGCAAACCTCGGCTGTATAATATGTTCGAGCTTTTCCAAGTATTGACTGGCCGGCCGGAAAGGAAACTTCTCCTGGCTTACGAACAGTTCCTAAAATATCATTAATATAATAAACACATTATTTATTGACTATTGAGTCGTAATAGTGGGTGTCAGTGAAGTTTGTGAAGCAGTGATAGGTGCAAAAAACTCGTGTAACAGAGGTCGACAATCTTCTGTGGGAAATTTTTGGAAAATAAATGTAATGTTGATTTTTTTTTTCATTTATTTTCTTCTTGTTCGGCCATGTGGCCTTTCAAGGGCTTGGATACAATA